TTCCTTGTTACACACATTCAACTGAGCTGAATGATTAAAAGCCCCCAAAGTCGGGACTTAAGTACTGAGTCATTCCTCCTGCTTTAACCTAAGACTTAATTTATCAGCGTCACTTTGTACCTGGTTCTCCCCTCTCCCACAGCATACCGCCTGCTCTCAGAGGACTCGATGTCAAAAGCTCCCAATTTCTTCTCCTTCTTTTTTATTCCTTCACTGCAATTCTGTTCTATTTATTTTCATAGGAGCTTTGATTTCTGTGAGCTTTATTTCTGCTTTATTCTTCTCTGCTTCAGAAAGATATACTTTACTTGCTGGGACCAAGCAGCACCTTATTTATCTGACCTCTAGAAGTTCTCAAGGTTCATAGCACCAGTCCTTCTAGCCCACAGCCAGCCCAGGTTTTGATAATCTGTTTACAAAAAGATATACTCTGCTGGAGACCCCATGTAAGGCTGGTCAGGGGAGAAATGGTAACTATTTGGTTCTGCAGAACTTTGTTGTAAGGTTTCCTAACAAACGTTTTCAAAACGAGAGATTTGTCTTTCGGTGCAGCTGGACTCCAACTCCCGCCGGTACCCGCAGAGAGCCGACTCCAACGCCCGGGACACGCAGAGGGGCGGTGAAGGGAGCAGCACCACGCTCCAGGCGCCAGGGCAGTGCAGGCACGGCACGGCAGCCCCTCTGGGGAAGGTCTGTCCAGCAGAGAACGAGAAGCGACCTGAGCGGCCCTGAGCAGGCACATCCTGCGCTTCCACTGTCGAGCCCTGCCCGGCTCCGACCGCATCGCCTCTCCCATGGCTGTAACTCTTCCCACATTCCCAGGGGAAAAAAGCCTCCAGAGAGGTGGCATACAGGGAGGGTGGGAAAAACACTCCAAGCTAAACAGAAGTGGTGGAGTCTTCTTCGTGTCCTAAGTGGTGCCTGGCGGTTTGGGAGGGTTTCAGGATGAGGAGGACCAAACCGCATGCCCAAGCCCCGCTTCTCTGGTAAGCTCCAGACCAAAACAGAGAGCGTTTCACACGCACCTCCTCCTCTGTCAGTGCTGCAGCACAGAGCTTCGAGAGGGGATGCTGATAGAATAGTGAAGAAAGCATGCCAGCAATGAGCTGAACAAAAGAGGCTTCTCAGTGCAGTGGCCACCAGCAACATCCTATTTACAGGGTAGGAGCCATCCCCTGGTAACGGGCTCACCCGATTCCCACACCAGACTGGGGAGCTGGGTTTTAAAACACCCGGGAGTGCTCCATGCGGGCAGGAACACTCGACCTGCCCAGTCTTTTGCATCAGCCTCAGTCCCCTTCCTCCATGCTCAGGGCTGGACAGACGGACAGGCAAGGGCTGGCTGAGGGCAGCCACACTCAAGGGACCAGAGGACCTGCTGAAGCTTAGGACTTCCCCAGAGCCTGGTGCAAGGAAGCCTCCGCAAGGAGAAGTGCCTGGTTTGGAAGGAGAAATGCATCAGCTATGCAGAAGCTGGACTTCGCATTGAAAGGCACAACAACTTTGTTGCTGTGCAGCTGAAGTGTGAGTTGGTACTGGTGAAGGGCACTGCAAAGGAAGCGAAGGCTGAGTCTCTCGCGTGGCCAGGCTGGGAGAGCGTCTCCATAAGACAAGCCATGGCCAGCAAACCCTTTCAATGCATGTCTCAGCTAGATCCACCCTCAGGGGAGCATTAATAGTTCCTTAAACTTCTATTATTTTATCATCTGTACTTAGCAATCAAACTTCTGGTTGTCGTTAGTTACTAACAAACCAATATTACTGTCAGTCCATTGTAGCCTCTGCACACCAGAAGCTTTTACATGGTGTCCCATTCACAGTGTTAAAGTACTCGGAAATGGGTTTATTTATAGCATCTACGGTGCAACAGAATATTCCTCCTCTCTCTCAGTGCTACTTGAGACGCTTACGAGCTGCACACGAACCACTCTGCGGGTTCACATTTTCCTACTCCCACGCCTCGGCCGGCGGAGCCGCGTGCCCGGGTGCAGACAGCGAGGACCAGCCCAGCCCGAGCCCAAAGACAGCAAGTGACTCACGCCGTTAGAAATCCCAAACGAGAGGTGGGGCAGGGCTCGGCGACGCAGGAGCTGCGCCCCACGGCCGCGCTGCCGTCCCCCCGCACAGCCCTGGGGCTCGGGGCAGCCGGCCGAGCCCCCCCGGACCATGGGCAGGGCATGGCACCAAAGCCCCCTTCCCGGCATAAAGCCTTCCATGCGGGACAGGGCGATGAAAATGCAGCAGAGCACATACCTTGTGCCACACTCCTCCGTCTGTCAGGGGCCAGTGCTGCCAGGAGCAGCTGTGCCTCCTAAATTCGGCACTGGTTCCCGGCCAAGCGAGCATTGCTCTTCCATCAGACGGCGGTTACTCACGCACGCCGCCCCCGCTCACACCAGCTATGTGTTCCTTCAGCTCAGAGTAAGGGGAAAACAGCTTATTTTGCAAAAAACACCCTTCACAATCTATCTTAAAGTGCTCAGCCACCGCTGCAGTGATGCTACCAAACTTTGTCAGAGAGGAATTCAGCCACAACAGAGCAGGTCTGGCCTGCTGGGTTTGGGCTCTTCCAGCCATTGCTGCTGAGCAGGAGCCAGTGCTGGCACCACGGCGGAGGGCTGGTCATGGGTCCAAAAGCCCCTCCAAAAACCAGAGACCAGCAGGCAGCTTGTCCCAAGCCAGGCACCGGGTGCTCCCACAGTCAGCCAGCGGTGCTGCTCAGCTCACCCTGTGGGAAGGCAAAGGAACGGGGCCAGTCTGAGCCGCCACACCAGTAAGAGATCCAGGGATGTGGACCTGGTGCTGCTGAAGGGTTCCCGGTTTCACCAGGAGGAACGCATCCAGGACAGGGTTGCTGCTGAGCACAGCATCGCCAGGAGCACACCAACACAGCCTACCCGGATTTAAACCCACACCCCCACGCTCATAAACCTGTGCAGAATTTGTCCCTTCACCACAGGTGCCTCCTTTGCTTCTGCAAAACCCTTGATTGCTCTCCAGCCCCGGCTCTGCCCTTTCTGCCCCTGCAGGAGGAGTCAGGGAGTCATCACAGTTTAGCCGTGGATATGTCACACCCCGGGCACCACCACATCTGCTTTCCCTAGGGCAGAAATCCCAAGAAAAACAGTTTCCAGACTGAGGTACCACCCTGACTCCAGAAAAAAATACAAAAACCCACCAGGGGTGGCCAGAGGAGTCCGGCAGCCTCCGACCCGCGGTAGTGCTCAGCCAGGCCCTCACCAGCACAAGTTCTTGGGGAAAAACAAACATGCCCGAGAGACCTGTGACACCTCGGCCAGATGGGAGAACACAATCCTATTTTGTGCTGCGTTATATCAACTCAAAGGGCCAGAAGAAAACCATTGCAGCGCTGAAAGCTGCAGGCACCGAGCCACGCGGGCTGGATACAGACGGCACCGCACAGGCACTGATGTTTTTGGAAGGCAGCAGCGTTTTGCAGTTCGCATACCTCCTCCATGCCAGCCAAGGGCATCAGAGCCGCGGTGGCTGCCACCACGCCCCAGACACCGCCGGGGCACCGATCCCCCCTCCTTAGCCCCCACGCAGCCTTCCCTCCCTGCCCCTGCCTGCTCTCTGCCCGCGGGAAGGGAGGGCAAAGGGGGCACCCACAGCCCCCCAGCCTGGGTGCTGCCCACGGGCCATCGCACGGCTCATTGGGGTGCTCCCGCCTGCTCCTCTCCGGCAAAGCGACGAGGGTGTCCTCAACAGCCTTTGCCGGGAGCAACGTTTCATCTCAGCAATGAAACCCAAAGCACTTCCCCACTAGAGGTACCACGCGCCGCTGCCATTTCGCAGGTGAAACAGAAGGTAACGGGACGGGGCTCCAGAGCGCAGCTCAGAGACGCGCATCTCATGAACCTGAAACATTAACAGGGGTTAATATGGCAGTTACTCCCCCCGAGAGGTTTTGCCTCCAAACACCACATTGTGCAGTACCGACGGGGGTGAGTCACAACCACCTCCCGTGTCACCCGCGCAGCGCAGCCGGTTGTCACCGAGGGCATCGCCAGCACCCCATGGGGAGACGGACACAGTGCGAGGGACACAAAGGGACACGTGGGGGAGAACAGAGGGCGGTTATCCCAATACTACTTCAAATGAAAACTGATTTAACAGAAGCTTTGGGTGGGTGGTTGTGGGGGTTTGGCGAGGGTTTTGTTTCTTTTTTTTTTTTTTTACAAAACCATTAGTTTTAAACCAATCTTCTTCAGTTCACAAAAATCAAGGCAGCACTGAAGAGATTAATGAGGATTATCAAAATACAGCACAAGTTAAATAAATCTTCATTAATACTCTAAATGACAGTGTGCCCAGTGTTCACGGAGGATACACGCCAACCGCTATCGATCTGTGGGTCGGTCTGTTGGATTTCCCTGAGTTTCTCTGTATGAAAAAGCTGGAACGAAGGAATCCAGGCTGATACCGTGAGCTGCCTTCTGGGCTCCCGGAGGGACCCCGAGGCTCGCTGGCTGTCCCAGGACAACATGGCTTATCTGGGTGATATTTATAGATGCGATTCCTGTCTCCCCTGAGCCGCTTCGTTTACACATTCATAAACAACTTTTTCCTCGTAAACAACGATTTCTCTCAGGCTTTTGAGGACTTTTGCCCCAGTTTGGGTATTTTTCCTCCCGCGCTGCCTCCCCACGCAAGGAGAAAACCCCTCAGGCACAGCCGGGCTGGGGGCTGCTCACCCGCCCCTGTGCCACCCTGTCCTGGCTCGAGGGCCACCAGCCCCCGGCACGCACGCCTCCCCCTCCCCAGAGGTGACACCGCAGGGGCTCTCCCCAGCGAAGCCCCTTTATGGGCTTTGGGGCAGCCGCCGCGGGAGGCACAATATTAATTTTAGCCTGGAGCAGCGCCAGGGGCGCAGGGCAGCTGCTGCAGGGGGGCAGTGCCTCCGCTCCCTGCCCTCCCCCGGCACAGCCCCGCTGCCCCGCTCGGTGACCGTCCGGGGCCAAGCCGGCGGCAGGGCGGCCATGGCAGAGGAACAGACCGAGCTGGAGGAGAGGATCATCATCAAGGACCAGCACACCAAGGAGATCGACCTGGTGAACAGAGACCCCAAGCACATCAACGAGGACGTTGTGAAGGTAGGCTTTGCTCAGCGCGGGGTTTCAGCAGCATCACTGCCTCCTTAAAGCAATCAGTATATCGGCGTTGTCACTCTGTATTCGGCTCGACCTCAGCCAGGGCGGTAAGTCCCGGTGTGCGTACCGTGCCTCGGGCGGTGGGGAGGTAACCGGCTGTGCGACCGCCGACGTCGTCGGGGTGGCTGGGGGCTGCGCAGGGCTTCAGTTAACACAGCGTTTCCCATTCCTTGAGCACGCTCTCCAACTTCATGGGCTCTAGCTCGAAAATTTGTGGGGACACCCTCCTTTGTACCAGCAAGTGGGGAGCCAAAAATAACGCAGGATCAGCCCGTATCACTGGTCTAAAGGGAACCTTGGAAAAATACTGCTGATCTTCAAGACCTGACCACCTGAGCAGCAGAATATTTAGATAGGTGTTCTCCCATTTGGAAGGAGATTGTCTCTCCCGGCTGGCAGCGGCAGGGTGCAGCCAGTCTCCTCCGTCTATTTTTGATCAGGATGAGTTCTCTGTCTGGCTGAGCAGGGAAGCGTGTCCCCATACGCTGACCGCTGGAGCTTGGGTGCTCCGAGCTTTGTTAGTATTACAGCAAAGATAATTTTGGACCAAAGAAGAACAGGAGGAGGTGGAAAGGTTTTGTAAAACTGTACTGAGAGATCAAAGAGGATGTCATGCCAGAAGGGACAAAGCCTGCTCACAAAGGCTTTGGAACAGACCGCGACCTTGATCGTACTGCTGAAATGCAAGCTTGCATTTGTGCATTAAAACACTACTACAGCCAAAGCCATGCACATGGCCAAATGAAAAGCCCCCAGGCGAGCTGTGACAGTGACAGCCATAGCTGGGCACCCTTCTGGCGCAGCGAGACGTGCCCGCAACAGCAACCAGGCACCTCGGTATCTCGAGCATGTTCCCAGCAGCACGTCCCACATCTGCCCCACACCCTCCCAGCGCAGCGCGGCAGCCCTGGTCCGGCGCTGGGAAGTGCCTCGGGCTGCAATAATGGCAGTGCCTTCCAGGCCATCTCTAACCCCGCATGCCAGCCCCGTTCCCCCACCCCACCCCTGCCTTTGCCCCCTCGGGGAAGCCCAAAAGCCTGTAAGAAGATTTGCAAGCTCACCTGCTCACATGGCCGCACTGCTGCTTCACCAGCTTTGGAAGCTTTCAGAGCTTTCGCTCGAGTCACCTAGCGCACCTCCTGCCTCAAAAATAGCACGGCCGATAAGGCTGGGAGGGAGGGCAGAGGCAGCCCCGGGACGGGGAGCACAGCGCACCCCGCTGCCACTCGCCGTGCTCCTGCACCAGTCTCCCAAAGAGAAAAGCAAAGCCTCCCTGCTCTCTGTGGGCAGCAACGCACTCAAAACCACCCTGGGCATTACAGCACAGCGGGCAGAGAGGCGGAGAGAGGTGGGGGAGCAGCGCGGTTTGCAGGCTGAAGGGTTGACATGGCCACAGATGAACCCATCCTGAGCATTACAGGGCAACAGCTGGAATTCGGGACCACGTTACAGTGACAGCGGTGGCACCAGCCACAGAGGTTTAACAGCCTCCTCCCAGGCAAAGCCGCGCAGCAGCTGAGCCGTACCTGCGTCCGCCGGTCCCGGGGCACCTCGGGGCACTGCCCGGGATCAGCATCCACCGCTCCTCCAGACCCACTTGTGGTGCACTCTCAGCAAAAGCAGCAGCTAGGCAGGGGCTCTTCTCTTATACTCTGCTGCTCCCTTCATTAATTGATGCCCTGATTAGCTCATTAGGCGCTGGGGCAGCTGTGCAGTGCTCTGCTCCCAGGGCTTTCCCGGGGGCTGCAGACGGGGGCTCCGGCACGGCCACCCGGGCTGCCCATCCCTCACCCACCTCAGTGCTCCTCCGCTGCCTCCTGCCCGCGCCAGGAAATTGAAGATGATGCAGAATGATTTTATGATCAAAGTGTTTCCAAAACCAGAATGGAGGTTGCAAATTAACAGAAACGTACAAACAGACACGTTAGCTTCCCGAGGAAAGGCCGTGCTGTTTTTCAAGACAAGTAGCTTGGCTCATGCATTCCCTCAAAATGAGCGACGCAGCAATGATATCTCTACGCGTCGTTCAGAGGCTTTTAAGAGTATTTGTCATTCAGAGACACTCCCAATGCCTGCGCACAACAGCACTATCCCTGTAAGGGCACGGCACAGCCGATCTCCCTCCCTCTTCAGACAGAACACAGACGGACAGAATTGAGCACCTCTCCTCGCCAGATATAAATAAATAAATTGTAAATCAAGAGGGCTGTTGGATTTTTATTAGAGCAAACCACCTTCTTGCCGAGCAGGCAGCCCGCATCCCTGAATGCTAAAAAAGGGTAGGAACGGGCTCTGGGCTCCTCCGCAGTAAACACTCCCACGCACAGCTCCCATTGCGAGGGCTGCTGCCTGGCCCTGGCACCGCTCGCGGTCTGGGGCCGGGGAACGTGTCCCGGGGCGGCCAAGCCTGGGGCTCTGGTGCCGTGGGTTACGTCTGCGTGCCGCGCTGCCCCCAGGCTGAGGTCAGGCAGCACCGGGAGCCCCGCAGCATCTCCTGCGTGGACCCTGAGTGCAGCGGGGGCTCTGCTGCTGCACCGGGGCTGGTCCTCGCTCGGGGGGCGCAGGGGGTCTGCTCCCCCCGCCATGGCCCCCTCCATTCGGGCTCTCCTCTGACATTGCAGTGGATCCTTTTCCGTGCACTGGAGACCCAAACCCCCTTTACCTCCTTCTTCTCCCCTCCCAGGTGGATTTTGAGGATGTGATAGCGGAGCCTGTGGGAACATACAGCTTTGACGGTGTCTGGAAAACCAGCTACACCACCTTCACCGTTAGCAAGTACTGGTGCTACCGGCTGCTCTCTGCCATCCTGGGCATCCCCCTGGCAGTTGTCTGGGGATTCCTCTTCGCCCTCATCTCCTTCTGCCACATCTGGGCAGTGGTGCCCTGCATCAAGAGCTACCTGATCGAGATCCAGTGCGTCAGCCGAATCTACTCCCTCTGCATCCACACCTTCTGCGACCCCTTCTTTGAGGCTCTCTCCAAGATCTGCAGCAACGTCAGAGTTGCTCTCCGGAAGGAGATCTAGGTCCCTACAGCTGCCCACAACAGCCCTCGCACGAACACCCCTCTGTGCGGGTTCCCCCCGTTCCCGCGGTGTGCCCCGCTCTGCCCTCGGCCACAGGGACACCGTGCCCAGAGACCTGCGGCACGGGGCGGCCCCGCAGCAGAGCCGGCTGCCGGGGATGCTCCCTGCAGATGGAGGATTGCCGTGCTGTTCCTTACTCCATTGCAGCAGCTTTGGGAGAAGAGAAGCCCACGGAGGCTCAGCGAGCGGCCCAGGGAGAGCGCTCTGCCCTCCAGGCCCCCCAGCATCGCACCCTGCTCCTGCGGGAGGGACCACAGCATCTCCTGGACCACAGCCCCGGGCCACGACCTGCAGCCGCAGAGCGAGAAGCAAGGGTGCAGAGATGCTGCTGGACAACAGACCAAACCCTGCCCGCTTCTCCAGCCCTTCGGTCTCGCATGGCACGAAGACAAACACTTGCATATGAGTTATCATCATTATTTGCCGCAAATAATTGTTGTTGTGGAAGCTTCTGTATTAAATCCCGCTGCACAAAAGTTTTACAGATAGAATAGTGAAAGCAAACTTTTCTTTTTTCATGTGTGTTTGCATTTCAGCAAAACTTTGAAATCCAGGTCAATTAGGGCATGAGATGTCGTGTCTGCCTCCCAGGAGCGTGTGCTGGGCCTGGGCCACTGGCTGCTGCAGAACCACCCGTGGCAGCGCGACACTCGCCGCGTAATTGCGGGGCATCATTGTGCTTTGTGGTGAGGGTTCAGCGCAGGAGCGGGGGCGGCCGTCCTGCGCATCGCCTGGTGCTGCCGAGGGGCAGCACCGCAGGGAACGCGACAACGAATGGCTTTTGATAACTGCACCTGAGAAACAACAAGCTTGGCTTTCAGTAAAGCTTTGGCTTCTTTCTCAGACAGAGTATTTACTACCCACTTGCCTGTTTGATGCTGGGCGAGCTCTAGCCCACAGCTCCGTGCGGGGTCATCCCTCTGCTCCGTGACATGCCCAGCTCAGGGGCAGGACCACGCCGACCCCTCGGGCTCTGTCCCACCGGAGCAGACCCGTGTCCGAGGTGCTGCCTCTCGCCGGTCCCCTGCCATAGCATCCCCCGGGGCTCACCCAGATGTGCCGGGGGGAGAGGAGGAAGGAGCCTCCCCGGGACACTGCCTGCCTCCAGCCGCTCCAGGGAAAACACGGGGATGAGAGAAGAAAAATCCAATTCGGAGCTGTTTCCTCCCCTGTGTTGTCAATTAATTTGTTTAGTCCATCTTTCATGAAGCCGTACTTTAACTTTGAGGCACTTAAACGCTTTTTTGGCTCTGGCCTTAAGTGCTTTGCTGAACCAGGGCCCAGGAGGTCTCGTTGTTCAGAGGTTATTCTCAACTGTATTCATGTGCTTTTTTCCCTTGGCTTCCAACAAAGACTTGGAGCCAAAGTTTCTTGTAGTGCCATGCCAAAGGCAAGGAAGAGCCAGATTTTCTGTCGGTGCTCTTCCAATGGCTTGTGGTCTTTCATTATTCCATAGCAATGCAGCACCCATGCTCTAGCAGCACCAGGCCTCGAGACAGATGGAGTGATTGGAAAAAAAAAAAAAAAGATATTTACATGTTTGTAGGGGAAAAGAGTCTCCAAAAACATTTTATCATGAGCATTTTTTAAAGCTTTTTGTGGGAATAAAAATAATTAAAAACAATACTGGGATTATACTCTTTTTAATGGCTTTTTGTTCCAGTAGTTCACAGCCTGAACCCAAAAAAAACTCCAAAATTCTGATCTCCCCATGCAGTAGTCTATGGGTTCCCCGCACATGGAGCATGCACTGCCCAGTCGTCAGCACCTCTATTTTGCTTTTGAACCTGCAGCAGCGCATTCAATACCCTTCCACGGCAACAAACCTGGAGCTCTTCTCCCCATCCCCGTTTCTCGGCGCGCCGGGGACGGCGCAGGAGCTCGGCCGTGGGCTGCGGCGTCACTCGGCTGCAGATCACAGTGTCCCCACGTGGGGGGCACAGCCCTGCCTGCCTGACGCCCTAACTGCAGCCAGTCATTGCCCCCGGGGCTGGCAAGGCAATGCCCTGCCTCCCCCAAAGCTTCCTCCTTGCTCTGTGCATCACTCCCGGTAAAATCTATCGCCACGTTGGGTTCCCTTCCTGGCAGAGGGAGGATGCGCCAGGCCCCTGGGTTCCCCATAAAATTCAATTTTCAACCTTCCCCCTCCTTGTTCTGTGCAGGAGCTAATCACCCTCAAGAATAAGGAAGATGAACATGGGAGGGAAATGCTATATGCTCTCCTACGGATCTAAAACAGTCCAGTAAAATATGCTGAGACTGATCGTGCTGGGTCATATTTAGCAAACGTGCTGAGAGCTCCTTGAAGATACTAGAAAAAAAATCAAAGGAATGCCAGGACATAAAAGGTGAAAATGTGCCTGTTCATGACAGTGAAAAAAAAAAAGTAATTTAAATGCATTTTTCATATTCATTCCCAACACGCAAGGCCAAATCATATTACCCTTTGACCGCGTGCAGGCCCTGCTTCTGCCCCCCCCACGGCTGCAGCTCCGGGAGGTGGCGCGGGCGCAGGCAGCAGCATCCCTCTGCGGGCACCGGCCCCCGCTGCCGCCCGGCGCACGGGAAAGCTCCCGCCGCCTGCTGCCGGAGCCGCGCTCCCCCCGGCCGTCCCCGCGCCAAAGGCCGTGTCACAGGCACTTCATGCCATGGAACAAAGCGGTGAGCGGTGCTCGATAAACAAAAGCATCGTTACATGGAGTATACTTGGGTCTTGTGTTTAAAGCATTGTTTCCCATCCATTTCCTTCATTTTCTTAGTCTGGTGCTCCTTCTGCGCTTCCCCTCCCGCTTTCCATCAACACACAGTCAGAAAACTTTATTTACAGGTATTTCTTAACAATAAAAAATCCATGCCCTAAGCATGACCTTGTGCGTTACAGAGCAAGAAAATTGCATTGGTGTAAAAGACTAAATGCGATCTGTGGTAAACCCAAAGCAAAAGCTTGGCCTTGGGGGACTCAGCGGGAGTTTTCCTGCTAAACCCCACGGAGCCCGGCTGGCACCCCAAACGCCCACCCTCCGGCAAGCCTCTGAGCACACTCGCCAAACGTCTTATTGCACAGATCCCCGGACCCTGCGGCCGTGTCCGCTCCCCCAACTCCAACTGAGCCGCGTGCGCAGCCCCACACAGCGCGCGGAGCAGAGCAGGGGGTAGGGACACCCAAGCACTAGCCTTGTCCCCCGGGTGGCCTGTCCCCAGCCCTGTCCCCGCTGCCCCCCCGGCCCGTGGCAGCAGGACTGCCCTGCTCTGGGCCGGTGGTGCCACCGGCGGGGCCGGGCCGGGGGGGGGACGGC